TAGATATTTAATTTATTTATATATTTGGAGACAGAGTTTCATTCTGTCATCCAGGCTGGAGAGCAATGGCATGACTTCAGCTCACTGCAACCTCCATCTCCTGGGTTCAAGTGATTCTCCTGCCTCAGCCTCTGGAGTAGCTGGGACTCAGGTGCTTTCCACCATAGCCAGCTAATTTTTGTATCTTTAGTAGAGATGGGGTTTCACCATGTTGGCCAGGCTGGTTTCAAACCCCTGAACTCAAGTGATCCACCTGCCTCAGCCTCCCAAAGTGTGGGATTCTAGGCATGAGCTATTGTGCCTGCCCTCTATATAAATTTTCCCTTTTTTACAAAGGGTTTTGGTCAGGCCAGTTGACAGGCCCCAGGCCCCTTGAGTCTCATCTGCTTCCATTGGGTGACAACAGTCTCTTCCCTGTTCCCCAGGAGCAAGAGTGAGCACACCTCTCCTTCCCTGCCCCTCCTCCCTCCTCACAATGCCACCCTCTGGAATGCCCACCCCCGTGCTTGGGACCTAGGGGAGGAGAGGCAGGTGGGTATGGTCTTGCCTGCAGCGTAGAGATGACGCCAGTGGCCACCTGGAGCACGGCACTCATGGTGTCTGACACTTCAAACACAGCTTCTTTGTCCTCCTGGGAGGCACATGGCAGGAGGTGAGGACCTAGCAGCCCCCCAGCACCCAGGATCCCCACAGCCCTGCCCCCCACTGAGGCATCCCCGCTGCCTTCCATGGGAAGAACACTCAGTACCCCAACAAAAGAAGGGCAGAGAGCTCCAAGGGCAGCCACGGATGGGGCTGAGTGCACAGGATGGGAGGATGTATGGCCATCCCGGGGGCCCTGCCTGGGTGTGCCAGAGTCCCGAGAACTGGCACATGGTGTGTAGGCGGGCGGGCCTGCCCGGGCCACTGTCCCCAGCCTCACACCTGTAGGTCTTTGTTGTAGGTGCTGGGAAGTCCCTTGAGGGTCATCAGGAGCCCGGCACACTGCGGGAAGAGGGAGGCACAGAGGCTGGACCCGGAATCCTGGCCCGGTCACTCCCATCAGCCCCACCCCTCTCCCTGCCCTGCTCACCCGCCCAAACACACGCCCCGCCTTGCTCCGGATCAGCTCCAAGCTGTCGGGGTTTTTCTTCTGGGGCATCAGGCTGCTTCCGGTGCTGGGGACAGAGGTACAGGCACTGAAGGGGCTGGACCCTTGGCTGGTCCAGTAGCGCACTGGCCAGGTCAGTGGAGGGGTGGGGCAGGGAGAAAGGAAGCCACGTCCACGGAGGGTGGGGAACACAGAGGCCAGGAGGGGCAGGTGGAGGTGACGGCCCCGGGCTTACCTGTAGGCGTCCGAGAGCTGCACGAAGCTGAATTCCTTGGTGCCATAGAGGATGAGGTCCTCGGCCATCCTGCTGAGATGAGTCATACACAGCGAAGCCCAGAACAAGAACTCGGCTGGGAGGGAGAAAAGGTTCCCAGTCACCAGGCCTCCCCCGTCCCCGCCCAGCCGGACCATACAGGGGTAGGAGGAGGTTAGGGGGTGGGGGACCTGGCTAAATTTTTTTTTTTTTTTTT